ACACACACACACACACACACACACACACACACACACACACACACACACACACACACATCAAGTAAGGGCAGAGGTAAAGAAGTAAAGAATCATAAAATGATTATAAATACTTTGAGTCTTCGTCTTCTCTGTCCAGTAGAAGAATAAAAAGAACTGGGTTCAATAGGTTGTGTACAAAATTGTTTTTATTTACAAGTCACACTACACACCAAGCTCCACAACTTACAGTCTTATCTGTTCTGGAAAATGGGTCATATCCATACACTCCTTTTCTTAAACTCCAACAGTCAACACAAAACTAAAAAGATGTTGTAAAAAAGTATTTTTACAGGACATTATCCTGCGCTTTTACTTTATGTATGTCATATAAAATACTGGTGACTGCAAGTGCTTCCCCTTAGCCTTCTAGTAGATGCACTTGGTTAGAGATGGAGAATTGATAGGATTTTAGCAATTCTGACATTACAAAAGTCAAAAGACATTAAATTTGTGCAAATTAATTGCATGCTGTTTTGCGAAATGTTTGTGCATGTTGGAGATCGGTGTTCCTCAAAGAACAAAAGAAAATATTATTATTATTTTTGTACAAAACACTTCTCATAAAAGTAATGCAATACGTTACTTTGTAATTACTTCAAAGAGAAAGTTATTTATTATAGTACTTGTTACATTACTTTCGTATTGCTCTGTAAAACAGCTGAAACACACACACACACACACACACACACAAAACATATTAAGGATTGTACATTAACACGAAACTGTTGTACACACACACACATGTGAAGAGAGAGAGAGAATGCATAGTATGCAAACGGCTACCAAACAGCCATCATAATTCGTCATACAATGAGAACAGGACAAATCAGCAGTCTGTTACTGTTGCTACTTTTACCATTTCTTCTTGGAGCAACTGTAACCCACATAATTTCCTTAGGGATTAATAAAGTATTCTGATTCTGATTGTTTCAGGATGCCCTGCCATTATCCAATGACACATCTGCTTACCTGTATCTGTTGCTCGTTTCTCCTCCTCTTCTTTTCTCTTTTTTCTAAACTGAGCACCTGATGGCTTTGAACTGTTCTTGTCCATCTTCCATTGGTTTTAATTTTGCACTCCAGTATGACCACCCATCCCTCAACTCGAGGATCACCACAACATGACCTAATAGACCAACACCTTAGTTCACAGATTCACTTTGTCTAGGGTTTATTTCTGGGATTTCACACAACCCAGGATTCAAATCATGAATACATAATGGGCTTGGATTTACATCATTATAAATGAAATGTGCTCTATTTGGAAGCAGCGGGTCTCCCTCCCCTTTCGACGGGTTGTGTGTGAGACTTTAAATCATCAAACTGAAAATTTTAAATTTTAATGAGCCCATTACTCCAAGTCCTAAAGTGTATATTTATTTTCTTACTCTTCTTATATATATTGTTTGTTTACTTGCACTGCTGTAACTGGAGCCTCATTGTCTCGTCTCTCTATATACTGGACTGTATGTAGTGGAGATGACAATAAAGTTTACTTTGACTTCAGCACCAAGCAGGCGCACCGAAGGCTCTCGCGCTCATTTTTCGTGTACAGAATTACAAAAAAACATCGGTGCAAATTATAAGTCTGAATCATAATGTCTGGTGTTTTCGTGTTTGTTGGTTTGTTTTTATTTTGTTTTATTTTGCGAGTTGATTATTATTAGATGCTGCTCCAGCCAGCCAGAGAATTTTTTTTTTCCGATGCCCGTGATGCCGCCCCCCACCACGATGCCGCCCCGGGCAACCGCCCATGTCGCCCGTACGCCCGCTACTGCTAACGAGCAAAAATGCCTTGTGAATGCTGAAAATTTGAAAATTTTGCCAAAAATGCTTAAAAATATTTCAAATATCAAGCGCCTATTATCTTTCTTTTAGTATTTAGGTATGACCACAAAGCTGACAGCACCAAGCAAAGATGAAGACCAGCAGAAAGAGACTTCAAAGCAATCATCACAGTGATTCTACTGTAGAAACATAAACAGAAATAGAAATGGAGGCTGATCATCGGCTTGTTACTTGTTGAAATTCAGGGTCTGGCTGCTGGGCAGGGGCTTAGCTTAGCGTTAGCATGCTGTCTGTGCCAAACTTGTGTTGGTAGCATAATGTAGCTGTTTCTCTCCTGCATGCAGTTTGCCTTTCATCATTGTGCTCTCCTCCTTTTTTGCCAAAAAATAAAAGTAATATTCATATTCACGCTCTACACCACTACTTTCAGCAGATCAAAGCTCAAGTGCAAATGGAAAGCATAAGCAGTGAGCAGACTAAATATTCCAAAGGATTGGACGACTAGGTAATGGTTCTCTATAAAAATCAGTTCTCGATTCCCATCCCTACCCATGGTGTAAATTTGAAAACCATAGGTGGTTTTCAGAAAAGTTCATTTCTGATCTTGAGTTTGGGATTTTTAGTAGATACACCTTTGGAATCAGTTTCAAAATCCTATATCATTTACTTCTTGAGATGTTGCATTCAAAAGATTATCAGAAAACTTGACCTTTGACCTTGTTGTTAAGGTCAACAAAATTCTTGCTTATCCAAGATTTTCAGTAGATGCACCTATGGTATTTGACAAATGAAATTGACAAGCTTGGCTGTCCATGTCACTGCCCACCCTTTTCCATAATAAGTTCAGTAAAGAACATCTGTATTCACTGATCAGCCCGTTTTTCCAGGTTTTTGGCTGCTAGTCTTTTCTTTCACATCACTTTCCCCCACTGTAAAACAAATGCCAACATTATCACTGTAGTCCAATCATCTTGCTGCCTGCCTTCTTCAATTCAGTCAGCCTCCACTCTGCTTACTTTAATCGCCCTGCTCATCTTTCATTCGCTCTTGCAGTCTCCTTCATGCAAGCCACTTCCTTCCCATCACTGTCTCACACAAGACACTCCACCCAAGCCTCCATCTTGTCTTTACCACCACCACCATTTAAACTCTGGGGGGTCACCCCTGGGATTTCATTCTTCTGTGATGGGCCATCAGAGTCTAATTGCCAAATAGCATAATTCAATTTTGTATATTTATAAATCATGTTCAGTTCCTTCTAATGAACTCTCTCCTTATTGAACTCTCACTTTTTAGTCATTGAGTATCAATATGAAAAAATGTTATAAAGCATCAAAACAAGCAGGCTTCTAACACTAGCAGTCTTTTCTTAGATTTAACAGGTAAGCTTCTGGGATACACATGTTTTTAGTAGTGCAATTAGCAAATTGTTACATGTGAATCTGT